GAACAGCTGCGCATCTCAGTACAATTAATCATTCGGCTCCATGCGCCAGAATTGTGTGTGTTTGTAAAAAATTCACAAATACTACTCCTTGCGAGTGCGCACAAATTCCAGGCTTCTGGGCGCGATAGTCAATTAACTTAATGGAAAAAACGAACCAACAAGGCCAACCACATCCACAGATATCGGTCTCGATGTCTTCCGCAGAATGAGAAAATCCTGGAAAAGGACTCTTGTGAAAAAAAAAAAAATAAAATTTGAGCAAGCAAAAACGGAAGCATGCATAAAAAAGGACCCCGCATAAGGCATGAGATTAAGGTTTAATTTTTCGTAACTAATAAATTACAGTGAAAAAATAGAAAGCAAACAAAGAAAAGCTGAATTGGAATGTTTCGGTCAACAACAGACTACTTGGCTACCTAAACAACAGAACAAGCATGGCTGCACAAAAAAACAAAATTTTATTTGTTTGTACAATCATGCTTGTTCCATTGTTAAGGTGGTTTTACTGTACAAACAAAATTTTGCTTAGATGAAGGGGGAAAAAAACGAAGTCACGAACGGAACTATTAGAGCGCGGTCGTCGAAATGCAGTAGCATCATCATAAACATCTCGCGAATCACCGTCTTCCCGAAGATCATACACCGATTCCACCGGACAACTTTCAATCTGAATAATATTTTCATTTTTGACTATATGTGATTGGCATGGATTATCTTGCCTTTCCGCTATGATAAGAAGGATTATAGCACCCTTCCGTTATGATAAGGCAATTGCTGAAGTTCACCGCCGCGAGCCGATGCATGGCCTTCAGCGAACACTGCTGCTGCGCGTATAGGCAAATTAGCCCCAGCTAACAAGTGTTTCCTTCTTTATCGCGACTTGCAACCTCAGATTCAACTTCAGAACAATTTCGTTTCTGAGAATAAAGGGAAATTTTTGAGCGATTCATTTTGACCGGGAACAAACCATTTAAAATCAGTTTTTAAACTCCGCTATGCTCTGATCCATGATCTAAACAAATCTCGGCTAATATAATATTTTGAAAATCATGAACTTATGAGTTGGAAAGTTTGAGAAATTCAATCTTTTTATAGTTTTTGCAATAAAGATAAAAATCGGTTCCCTGGTGGAATGCCTTGGCCCACGACTTTAGGTCCACGTTCATGTAATTCGACAACCAGAAAAGTAACAAGTTGTATTTCTCTATAAATTCAGTGGTAGATTTATCAAAAAGCGCATCACGATGTCTGGGAAGCAGCAGGGCTAGCAGTAAGAAAATCCGAGATGGCGTACTAGAATATAGGTTTTATTCAAATTATTTTTAAGCGCTCTCCTCCAGTCACGCGTTTTGATAGTAATGGAGCGAGTTGCGTGCAAAATGAATTCGTGTGTCCAAAAAAAGAGGTGTAAAGTGACTAGCCAACCTATCGGTGCTCATTTTTTCCACTCACAGATACCGATTTATGGGTGGAGAAAATGACAAGTGTCCTCCGCATCCCTAAGTGTCCTATTGATGTATAATTTTTAAACAGAAATTGATGCAAAAAAAAAAAAAATGAAAAACCTGAACACGTTTCAGCGGCTTGTTTACTGGGGTCCAGGCAACAACTTTTTGCTTTCCACTGCTGCCCATTGATTCACTTCGAGTATGTCCAACTAGTCCCCGTAAACCTGCAATTTACCGCAACTCAACACAAGAATGGAAGGGCCAAAATTTCTCACTGCGTGGTCTGTTGATTAGGAAAACAGAATTGATCAGATTTTGCTGAATATGCGAAGTCTGGATCCCTCAACCTTTCTATTATTCAATTTCTACAGGACAGATAAGTACTAGAACCCCCCCCCCCCCTCTTCCTGGTTCCTCCTGTAAAAATAAAAATAGGAGTGACCATTTGGCGAATGTGGGTGCAGGAATGCGACCTTGCAAACACATATGTGTAACGAGGAGAAAAAAAGTGCAATGCAACGCTTTAGCCAAGATTACATGGCTAACTCATATTGCTGCTTTGTTTTTTCCTTTCCAAGAAAAAAATCCTTTGTTTCTCTTTTTGAAAAGAAATATTGTTCGTCATTTCAGGTCCCTTGTTTCCTTTCCAAAAAAAAGAGGCTCGTTTGTGAAATCACATAAACAAAAAAAAATCCATTTTTTTTGTGGAAGATTGGAAGAAGAGTAGCCGGGAAAAAAAAGAGTACAGAGATCTTTACGGAATGTGTTTACTTTATTCGGGAAATGTCCGTAATCACTG